GCTTGACGCAATCGGTCCATCTTTGAGCTCTGTACGAGTAAGATTCAGAACTGATATTCAGTAAGGCAGGGCTCCCCAACGTGGTGCCCACAGGTGGCAGGCGGTGTGTCCCTCTAAGCTGAGTTAGTGTGAGCTAGCTCACAGTTTTTTAGCCTCTGGCTCACACACCTATGTCTTAGCTCGGGAAGGAGGGCTCCAGAGCAAAGTCATTTATGCAGGAGTCAAATCACTCGCTCACAACTTGAATGCCAATAGCTCACAAAGCAGAATTTTTGCTCACAAGACTCCGCAGCTTAGAGGGAACACTGGTGGCAGGGCGTCCACCAGTACTTCCCTTTGCGCTCACCAAGGTTCCCAGAAAGTGGACAGGGCCATTGTAAGGCAGGCCTCGTTACTGTCTTCCCTCATTCAAACACTGGTAGGTGAGGGCTGTTAACCACTACACCAAACTGGCTGTCATCGACCCAAAGTGGTGAAACAGGAAGCCCAGTTGTTTAAGACCATGGACTCTAATCAGGGCGGACCGAGTTAGATTCCCCGCTCCTCCACATGCATCAGCTGGTGTGACCGTGGGTCAGTCCCAAGTTCTCTCAGAGCTGTTCTCTCAAGGGCAGTCCTCGAGAGAGCTCTCTCAGCCCCACCTCCCTCACAGGGTATCTGTCGTGGGGAGGGGAAGGGAAAGGAGTTTGTCAGCCGCTCTGAGACTCCTTCAGGTATTGAAGGGCGGGGTATAGATCCAGTCTCTTCTTCTATATCAAAGTGACAGAATGAGCTGAATTTTGGAGCATCCCTTGTTAGGTATGCTGGTGTGACCTTGGGTCAGTCACAAGTTCTCTCAGAGCTGTTCTCTCAAGGGCAGTCCTTGAGAGAGCTCTCTCAGCCCCACCTACCTCCCAGGGTGTCTGTTGTGGGGAGGGGAAGGGAAAGGAGATTGTAAGCCGCTCTCCTTTGGGTAGTGAAGGGCGGGGTATAAATCCAATCTCTTCTTCTTCTAGATCAAAGTGACCGAATGAGCTGAATTTTGGGAGTATCCCTTGTTAGGTATGCTGGTGTGACCTTGGGTCAGTCACAAGTTCTCTCAGAGCTGTTCTCTCAAGGGCAGTCCTTGAGAGAGCTCTCTCAGCCCCACCTACCTCCCAGGGTGTCTGTTGTGGGGAGGGGAAGGGAAAGGAGATTGTAAGCCGCTCTCCTTTGGGTAGTGAAGGGCGGGGTATAAATCCAATCTCTTCTTCTTCTAGATCAAAGTGACCGAATGAGCTGAATTTTGGGAGTATCCCTTGTTAGGTATGCTGGTGTGACCTTGGGTCAGTCACAAGTTCTCTCAGAGCTGTCCTCTCAAGGGCAGTCCTTGAGAGAGCTCTCTCAGCCCCACCCACCTCACAGGGTGTCTGTTGTGGGGAGGGGAAGGGAAAGGAGATTGTAAGCCGCTCTGAGACTCCTTCAGGGAGTGAAGGGCGGCGTATAAATCCAGTCTCTTCCTCTTCATCATCACCTTTCCATATGTACCCTTATCTCAGTCCCACTCCCCTGTAGTGTGAACAATCTACAAACTGGAGCCTATTGCCATCATTGTGAATTTCCCAGGACTGCACTCCCCTTTATAGCCACCCATGGACAGGAACGGCCCTCCACCCTCCCACCCGTGTTTCAGCTCAACACTCAGCTGCTGTTCCAGCGACAGCACCAAGTCTTCCATTAGCATCTAGGCGGAGACCAAGCAAAGTCTGTTTGGCTTAACATACCTGGCTGACTGAGCCGCCTTCAGGTGCAAGGGAAAGCTGTCTGAGTTTATAGCGTTGACTATTTCTTCCAAAGACAGCTCGGCAACCTGCAACGGGGCAGAAAAGGGATCCAGAATTGGCCACGGATGGAGAAACGCATGACCTAGATACCCAACGTTCCGCTTCCCAGCTACGGCTGCTCTCCAGGAGCAGATCTAGAAAGCTCAGGAGAGCTGCATAGAACCGAGTTGGAAGGGACCTCCGGGGTCATCTAGTCCAACCCCCTGCACAGTGCAGGGAATTCACAAATACCTCCCCCCACCCACGCCCCCAGTGACCCCTGCTCTACGCCCAGAAGAGGGCAAAACAAAAACAAAAAAACCCCTTCCAGGATCCCTGGCCAAACTGGCCTGGAGAAAAATTGCTTCCTGAACCCCAAAGTGGCAATAGGCATTTCCCTGGGTGTGCCAGAAAGGGCCACGAGGACTAAGCCCTGAGGCAACCCTTCCTGCCGTCCCTCTCATGATCTCTCTAGGTTTACAGAATCAGCATGGCTGTCCGATGGCCATCTAGCCTCTGTTTGAAAACCTCCAGAAGAGGAGAGCCTTGCACCTCCCGAAGAAGCGTGTTCCACTGAGGAACCGCTCTAACTGTCAGGAAGTTCTTCCTAATGTTTAGCTGAAAACTCTTCTGATTTCATTTCAACCCGCTGGTTCTGGTCCGACCTTCTGGGGCAACAGAAAACAACTCTGCCCCATCCTCTGACAGAGCTTCAAGTACTTGAAGATGGTTATCATATCACCTCTCAGTCGTCTCCTCTCCAGGCTAAACATACCCAGCTCCTTCAACCTTTCCCTCATGGGACTTGGTCTCCAGACCTCTCGCCGTCTTCTTTCCCCTCCTCTGGACACATTCCAGCTTGTCTTAAATTGTGGTGCCCAAAACTGAACACAATCCTCTAGGTGAGGTCTAACCAGAGCAGAGTAAAACGATACCATCACTTGGCGTGATCTGGACACTAGACTCCTGTTGATACAGCCCAAAGTGGCATTTGCCCTTTTAGCTATCGCATCACACTCCTGACTCATGTTCAGCGTATGGTCTACTAAAACCCTTAGTCCTTTTTGCACCTGCTCCTGCCAAGAGAAGTCTCCCCCATCCTATAATTATGCATTTGATTTTTCCTACCTAAATGCAGAACTTTACACTTATCCCCACTGAAATTCATTTTATTTGTTTTAGCCCAGTTTTCCAGCCTGTCAAGATCATCCTGTATACTGACTCTGTCTTCTATTGTATTTGCTGCCCCTCCCAATTTACTGTATTCATCAACCACTTCCAACAACCAGCAAGACAAATTACTGTCATGGCTGTCAGTTCTGACGGCATGCTCTTGCAGCTAGCTAGATCTTGGTAAACGTTAAGGCCTTAAGGCAATTCAAATGTTAAATTGACACTTAAGTGACAGATCTTAACCTAGCAAGTTTTGACCCCAAGAGAGGCATCATTCCCTACATAGGCCACGGATCACAGCATGAAACTGACTTATACTGAATCAGACCACTAGTGCAGTGGCTCTCCAAAGTCTCAGGCGGAGGTCTTTCACATCACCTACAGCCTGATCCCTTTCAACTGGAGATGCCGGGGAACCTGGGACCTTCTGCATGTAAGGCAGATACTCTACCACTGAGCCACAGCCCCTTGAGTTCTACATGCCAAGTAATGCCATTTCAACCCCTGGCATCTCTAATTAAGAACTTCTTCGGTGATATGTCCTTCTCTGCCCAAGACCATGGACAGCCACCACCAGTAAGACTAGACAGTACTGTGCTAGAGTTCCATGACTAGAACTGATCAGCTTCCCAAAGCAAGGAAAATACTGTGCCCTTGTATCAAGAGTTAGGGAACACTTGGCTTTAAGAACATCAGAAGAGCCCTGCTGGATCAGACCAGTGGTCCATCTAGTCCAGCATCCTGTCTCACACAGTGGCCTCAACCAGTTCCTCTGGAGGGCCAACAACAGGGCACAGAGGCCGAGGCCTTTCCCTGAGAAGAACATCAGAAGAGCCCTGCTGGACCAGACCAGTGGTCCATCTAGTCCAGCATCCTGTCTCACACAGTGGCCAACCAGTTCCTCTGGATGACTGACAACAGGATTTCAAGCATTTGGGGGATGCATTTCTCTCTGGCACGTCCATACCAGGTTCTTGTCTTCTTTCTCTGGAGACAGGCTGTCTTCCATTGAAAAAGAGATGTTCCTTCGCTTCAGGTACTGTTCATCTTTCCTAGCCTTACGAAGTTCAACTGCGACTTCTACTCTTTGTCTTCTCATCGCCTGCGGAAGAGTAGGGGAGGAGAGCCATCAAGCACTATGCCATCTTCTCAGTCTCCCGCAACCCCACACAGCAAAAACCTCATCTCCTTCCTCACAAAGCATGACCAACAACTGCATTTTATTATAGAACAAAGTTTGAGTCTTTAGTTTAAGACTAAAGGTGCCACTGAACTCAAACTGTGTTTGGTTGCTTCAGACCAACATGGCTGCCCACCTGAATGGATTTTATTACGTTAGATTTAATAGTTAACTCAGCTAGCGGTACAAAGGAAGGTACCCAGTTGAGGGATTGACTTGTCCAGCAAGAACACATTTTACAGTGAGGAAAAGCCAAGCACAGAGGTAACCATAGGGCAGTGGTGGCAAACCTACGACACATGTGCCAGAGGCGGCACTCAGAGCCCTCTCTGTGGGCACGCGTAACATCGCCCCAGCCAGGCCCGGACCATCATTAAAGGGTCGAATTCTCTGCCAAATGATTTTAAGTAAATGAAAGCATTTGGGATTGCTTTCCTTACTTTGTTTGGATCATCTTAAGTTAATGTAGGAGTTGTTTTTTCTAGAGTAAAACCTCAGTATTCGGGTTAAATTGCCGTGTTGGCACTTTGCGATCGACAAGTGGGTTTTGGGTCGCAGTTTGGGCACTCGGTCTCTAAAAGGTTCGCCATCACTGCCATAGGGTATGAACAGAACACAACAGAAGTTCAAGCCAGAACCGAGTCTATTCAGGCCAAAGCTCAGAATGTGGTACTGGGCACCTGTGGAGGAGCAGCTACAAGGTTTAGGCTGAAAAGTTAACCTAGATAATTTGCTAGATTTATTTCACACATAAGAAATTGTTCCATGTAGGGAAGGTCATTTTTAATATCAAGACATTGCTGTGTTATGAGGTAAACGCAGGGCGATCTGCTGTGAGGGAAGGAAAGCTACGAAGTATGTAGGCCTCAAGGCAGCCTGCCAAGCAGTAATGCTATTCCATTGCAACTGTTGTTAAGGGAGTGGGTTTCTCTGACGTTTTCAGTGAGCTTCTCCATAATGGACAGGTAGGGTTGCCAGCTCAAAGTTGGGACATTCCTGGAGATTTTGGGGTGGAGTCTTAGGAGAGGCCTCAGCTAGATATACAGCCAGGGGTCATTTCGTAGAAAAAGAGATGCACGAGCTCATTTGCATAACTCATTTGCATATGCCACACCCCCTGACCTCACCGGAAGTGTGTCAGAAGGCAACGCCCACCGCTCAGGCTCCACTGGGCTGTTTTGGAGGATTGCTAGCTATGGGGGGGGGGAGCACAAATCTGCCCTCACAGAGGAGGGAGAGCTTGTATCTGAATAAACCTTGGTCTTAAAGGTGCCACTGGACTGTTTTGGATTGCTAGCTATGGGTGGGGGGGAACGTGCAGATCTGTCCTCGCAGAGGAGGGAGAGCTTGTACCTGAATAAACCCTGGTCTTAAAGGTGCCACTGGACTGTTTTGGATTGCTAGCTATTGGGGGGGGGGAACGTGCAGATCTGTCCTCGCAGAGGAGGGAGAGCTTGTACCTGAATAAACCCTGGTCTTAAAGGTGCCACTGGACTGTTTTGGATTGCTAGCTATGGGGGGGGGGAACGTGCAGATTTGCCCTCGCAGAGGAGGGAGAGCTTGTACCTGAATAAAACTGGGTCTTAAAGGTGCCACTGGACTGTTTTGGACTGGGGGTGGCACTGCAGCTTACCTGGCTGCTTCTTGCTCTGACTGAGGACTGCTGGGAGCAGGGGGCGGGGCTTGTTGCATGTGCCCCACCCCCTGGGCTCTTTACTGCCGGAGCTCCACTCCTGTGCGCTCCTGCAGGAAATGACCCCTGTATACAGCCACTGTCCAAATCCACCATCTTCTCCAGATGGACAGATCTGCCATTTGGAGATCGGTAGTAATTCTGGGAGACTGACAAATCCACCGGGAGGCTGACAAACCCTAGACAGAAGTGTTCAAACTGCATCACTTGGAACAGGTCCATTAGTGGATGGTTGGTCCACTTTAATTGGTGCTTGACTTAGAAAGCATGAGCTGAGGGTATGAGACCCAATTGGCTGAAATCCCCAGCTTCCGTACATGTAAACCGTTTCAGGAGGAGGAGGAGGTTGGATTTATACCCCGCCCTTCACTACCCGAAGGAGTCTCAGAGCGGCTTACAGTCTCCCTTCCCTTCCCTCCCCCTCCCCACAACAGACACCCTGTGAGGGAGGTGGGGCTGAGAGAGCTCTTTTGAGAACTGCTCATGAGAGAAGAGCTCTGAGAGAACTGTGGCTTGCCCAGGGTCATCCAGCAGCTACAATTGGAGGAGTGGGAAATCAAACCCGGTTCTCCCAGATTAGAGTCCGCGCACTTAACCACGACACCAAACTGTCGTAGTAAAGTGCAACTTGAATTTATTTGGCTTTTTATGCCTCCAAAGACTTCTTAAGTCCTGAGGATCCCTGGCCCCAAATATGTCCAGCTGTCTTAGTATTTTAGGTTTTTAATTACATGTTTAACTGTACATCTGATTTTATCTCTTGTTTTATTATTGATGTATGTCGCCCAGAGCCCTGTTTTTACAGGGATGTGGCGATTCATAAACGGAATAAGTAATAACAAAAACCTTGGGTGCGCTGGGAGGGGACCAAGGCTGCTGTAAGCTACTTTGAGTCAGCGGGGTGAGAAAGAAAACAATAAAAGCCTTGAGCATCCACAGCTGTGGGTTCTTCATAGCTCAGGGGACAACCTAGAATCCTGCTTTGGTAAGAGATGGGATTTAACCAAAACACATTGGCCTGCAGTAAAGCCCTCTCCTTACAGAGCCAGTTTGGTGTCGTGGTTAAGAGCGCGGACTCTAATCTGGGAGAACCGGGTTCGATTCCCCACTCCTCCACATGCAGCTGCTGGCGTGACCTTGGGTCACTCACAAGTTCTTTCAGTTCAATTCAAGTTCATTGAATGTGGTAGCTTAATCTGTTTCTCATGGACTGTTAGTACACAGTCTGGGAATTGTTAATCTAGCCAGTTTGGTGTCATGGTTAAGAGCATGGACTTTAACCTGGGAGAACCGGATTCGATCCCCCACTCCTCCACATGCAGCTGCTGGTGTGACCTTGGGTCAGTCACAAGTTCTTTCAGAGCTGTTCTCTCAAAAGTGGTTCTCAAGGGAGTTCTTGAGAGAGCTCTCTCAGACCCACCTACCTCACAGGCAGTGTTCCCTCTAACCTGAGTTAGTGTGAGCCAGCTCACTGTTTTTTTAGCCTCCGGCTCACACATCTTTGTTTTAGCTCAGGACGGATGGCTCCAGAGCAAGCTACTTTATGCTGTAGCCAAATGGCTCGCTCACAACTTTAATGTCAGTAGCTCACAAAGTAGAATTTTTGCTCACAAGACTCCATAGCTTAGAGGGAGCATTGCTCACAGGGTGTCTGTTGTGGGGAGGGGAAGGGAAAGGAGATTGTAAGCTGTTCTGAGACTCCTTCAGGTGGTAAATCCAATCGCCTCTTCTTTTTGTTGTGTACTGCTACTTGCTGGTCATTGCCCCCGCCTGAAATTTAATTGCTTCCGCCCACTGTTTCCCAGCACCTGGCATTTAGAGGTATACTGCTCCTATACATGGAGGCTCCCAATTATGCCCAAGAAGTTCTGTGCGACTGCAGTACTGACGAGGCTGTAGAATAGAGTGCGACCCATGTGGAATCCAAAAACCTCAGCCCCCACCCATACTCACTTCCGCATCTTTCCCTTTATTTTTAAATTGCTTCATCCGCTCGTCTTGCTCGTTTGTGGTGGGCATTGTCGAGCCAGCAACGAAAACACACAGCGACGCAAACAGGGCGTTTCCACTTCACACCTAAGCAATTAAAGAGATGGTTTAGTGGGGAATCCAGTTTCCTTGCTGTTATCAAGCCAAACGAAGCATGGTTGATTCCCAGAGGGCAAAAGGCACCAGCTTGTTAATACATGTTATTTGATTTTCGGTGCTTTTTAATAAAAAAAAATGCTGGTTTACAGACCTAGACAGCTGCTTTTAAGATCACAGAGGCAACCCTGCAAGAAAGAAGATGTTTAACGACTTGGGGGTGCCAGAAGCAACGTATTTTCCCCACCAGAGTCAAGTGCAGCTCTAGAAAGGAGTTTTAAACTGTAGAACAAGCAGGGCTATTTTTGGGCAGGAACGCACAGGAACGGAGTTCCGGCTGGCTCCCGAGTTGGCCACGCCCAGCAGGAACTCATTAGCATAATAGGCCACACCCAACAGCAGAAACTCATTAGGACTGGCTACATTAGGGGTGTGTGGCCTAACATGCAAAGGAGTTCCTGCTCCAAAAAAGGCCCTGGGTTTTGACAAACAAGGTAAACAGAATAAGAAGCAAAAGGTGGGTGTGGCTGGATGACCACACTTCTGGTAACATGGGGATGCGGCCGAATGTGCTAATGAGCTGTGCTGTCAGGGGTGTGGCCTAATATGCTAATGGGTTCCTGCTGTTGGGTGTGGCCTATTATGCTAATGAGTTCCTGCTGGGCTTTTTCTACAAAAAGAGCCCTGGAACAAGCATTCCCAAACCTGTGAAATCGGGTCCCAGGATCTTGCAGTTCTTTTGATCTGACCATGCTGTTTTAAGTTTCCCAAGTGAGTCGCCATGCCAAGTAAATTTGGACTTTGGGAACCATGTGCAAGAAAGGCTGGGTACCAATGCTCCCTCTAAGCTGTGGAGTCTTGTGAGCAAAAATTCTACCTTGTGAGCTACTGGCATTAAAGTTGTGAGTGAGCCATTTGGCTACTGCATCAATTCGTTTGCTCTGGAGCCCCATCCTTACTGTGTGAACCGGAGGCTAAAAAACTGTGAGCTAGCTCACACCAACTCAGCTTAGAGGGAACCCTGCTGGGTACCACCGTTGTAGAAGAGGCCTGGAAAGAAATATCTCCCCACTGGAGTTCCAACACTGTTAACTTCATACCAGATATTCCATATCAGATTAAATAGGGTTACCAGCAATGTTCCCTCTAAGCTGTGGAGTCTTGTGAGCAAAAATTCTACTTTGTGAGCTACTGGCATTAAAGTTGTGAGTGGCGATTTGGCTGCTGCATAAATCAGTTTGCTCTGGAGCCCTCCTCCCTGAGCTAAGGCAAAAATGTGTGAGTCGGAGGCCAAAAAACTGTGAGCTGGCTCACAATAACTCAGCTTAGAGGGAACACTGGTTACCAGATGTCCCCTTTTAGGAGGACATGTTTTCTTTTGGGGTTGGAAGGTAGGAATATTCCTAGATCCAGGTGGGGCAGCCGTGTTGATCTGATGTAGCAGAACACATTTGGAGTCCAGTAGGACCTTATTTATTTATATTTATTTTATTGTTTATATTTATATCCCGCCTTTCCAGATATCTGGCTCAAGGCGGCTCACAACATTAAAATGGCATAAACAACCGAGTTAAAACAATTCATAAATAGCATACCAGTCAAAACACCAGTTGCAATTAACCCAACAGAAATGGTGGTAATCCAAATCCCGTCCAATGATAGGGTGGAATCTCAGGCCGGAGGGTGTTCTGAAATTTTCCAGACCAGACGATGTTCCAGGGCACACTCATCAGTGGCAGCCCCTAATCAAAAGCCTGGTGGAAGAGCTCCATCTTACAGGCCCTGTGGAACCGGAAAAGGTCCCGCCGGGCCCTGATGTTCTCTGGGAGCTCGTTCCACCAGGTTGGGGCCGCCACCGAAAAAGCCCTGCTTCTGGTGACGTTCAGCCTGGCTTCTTTCGGACCACGGTCAGGCGATGTTGCGACCCTGACCGCAGTGCTCTCTGGGGCAAATATGGAGCACACTTCTTCACACACAAAAGCTCATACCTTGAATAAAGCTTTGTTGGTCTTAAAGGTGCTAGTGGACTCAGGGATATTCCTAGCTAGTAGCAGTTCTCACAGCTTAAATAGTAGAGGTGTTTCAAATGAGATTGGTCAAAGTGATCACCAACGTTCCCTCTAAGTTGTGGAGTCTTGTGAGCTACTGGCATTAAAGTTGTGAGGGAGCGATTTGGCTACTGCATAGATCAGTTTGCTCGGGAGCCATCCTTCCTGAACTAAGACAAAAAATTGTGAGCTGGAGGCTAAAAAACTGTGAGCTAGCTCACGCTAACTCAGCTTAGAGGGAACACTGGTGATCACTGGTTTGAAGTTGCCAGCGTCTAACCATGTTTCATAAAGTTTCTCTTTCCTTCCCTGTTTAAGCTTCCTCGTTGCAATTGGTTTTTTTTTAATTTCTCTTTTTACTATTATTATTACAGCTATCATTGCCATTCAACACTACAGTTATTTGTAGTTATATTGCTTTTATCTTGGCTTCTTGGCTATTTGGCAAGCTGTGTTGTTAGTTCTCCTTTGACGTTGTAGCTATGCCAATAAAGGTTGTAGTGATAATAATGTCCTCTTTTTTTTGCTTTTCAAAACATGGTGACCCTAGATTAAGAATCCCCTAAAGAAAGGTCCTGAACTCAAGAAGTCACCCTTTCCCTCTAAGTTGAGTCAGTGTGAGCCAGCTCACAGTTGTTTGGCCTCCAGCTCACAGATTTTTGTCTCTGCTCAGGGAGGAGGGCTCCAAAGCAAACTCATTTATGCAGGAGCCAAATCGCTCGCTCACAACTTTAATGCCAGGAGCTCACAAAGCAGAATTTCCACTCACAAGACTCCACAGCTTAGAAGGAGCATTGTTTCCAAGTACACATGAAACTGCCCTATACCAAGCCAGACTACTTGCCTACGATAAGCTACACCCCCCAAATTGAGTATTTTGCCTACTCTGACTGGCAAGAAATCTTTCACAACACCTAGAATAGGAGTCCCCGGCGCGATGCCCTCCAAGTGTGTTCAGGAAGCAGCCAGCCCCATGGGACGTCTGATTGGTCACTGGAGAGCCCATTCACTGCGCAGATTATTTAAAACACTGCCTCCACAACAGCTACCACCACGGCACAAGGAGCTTCACGGAGGGACCTAAGGTAAGCTAAGCTGTGCGTATCCAAGGAAATATTTTAGCACTGTATGCTTTTAAAAAAGGTATCCTGTTCAGAATTCCTGCCTGAAATGCGGAAGGGTTCCTAGTAGAGCTACATTGATTTGCAGTATAACAGCTAGATCCAAACCAATGTTCCCTCTAAGCTGTGGAGTCTTGTGAGCAAGAACTCTACTTTGTGAGCTCTTGGGCATTAATGTTGTGAGTGAGCGATTTGGCTACTGCATACATTAGTTTGCTCTGGAGCCATCCTTCCTGAGCTGAGACAAAAATGTGTGAGCCGGAGGCTAAAAAACGGTGAGCTAGCTCACACTAACTCAGCTTAGAGGGAACACTGAAAACCCATTAGCACCTTGAGAGTCAGTTTGGTGCTGTGGTTAGGACCGCAGACTCTAACATGGGAGAACCGGGTTTGATTCTCCATGCCTCCACATGTAGCTGCTGGTGTGACCTTGGGTCAGTCACAAGTTCTCTCAGAGCTGTTCTCTCACAAGCAGTTCAGCCCCACCTGCCTCCCAGGGTGTTTGTTGGGGGGAGGGGAAGGGAAAGGAGACTTTAAGCCTCCTTTGGGTACTGAAGTATAAATCCAATCTCTTCTCTTCTTCTTCAAGGCTGTGACATCCTTGGTTATTGGGGAGACTGTTTTACCTTTAAAACACACCCTGTGTACATGAACTTGGTAGATTTCTGCTGCCACTAGGAATTAAAAATTCCAACTCTCTCTCTTTTGGTAGAATGACCCAGGGTCTGGGCACTTCGGAGGACTATGTGGCCCTGAGGAAGGACTATTCTGATTGCTGGGATAAGTTTAAAGAAAAAAATGATTTATTTAATAAAGAACAAAATAGGTTTCTGGTTATTTTGAACTGTTGCTGAAGGAAGGAACTTGTAAATATAACTGGTAAAGCTAGGTGTCACAAACAGTCTCTCAGGCTAAACGGTTTGTCTTATTCACACAGAACAGACTCAAACTCCCATAGTCACACAGACTATGCTCTCTCTCCAAACTCCACACACAGAATCCTCTCATAGACACCTCTCCTCCCACACTCTCAGCCATCAGCCAATCACATCACACTTGTCTCCCTCTATCCCTCTCCTTATATTACTGCAGTCAAACTAAACATTTAAAGAAACACACACACCAAAAAATGGAATCATTACAGAGACCAATAAGGTTTTGGAGGTATCTGACAAAGGAAGGCTTGATTCTCAGAAACTTAAAACTCCCCCAATCTTGTTACCAAGGTGTTACTGGACTCAAATGCAGCTATCAGAACATTGCATAACCTCACTCCCTGATGTCGTATGGTTAGAACAAAGCTTGAGTCCAGTGGCACCTTTAAGACCAACGAAGTTTTATTTAAGGTATAAGCTTTTGTATGCAGGCACACGAAAGCCAATTTGTTTGTCTTAAAGGTACCACTGGACTCAGACTTTGTTCTGCGGCTTCAGACCAACAGGGCTACCCCCCCCCACCCGAATCAACTCTATGGTCAACTTCACTTCCTATGGTAGCCATTTTGTGGCTGCAACTACTGTGCTGTGTCAGGACTCCAGAGACCCCTGCAGGCTCAAAAAGGTTGGGGACTCCAACCTAGAATATAACTTTTTTTTTTTAATGGAGATGGCAAGCAGGGCCGGCTCGCCCGCTAGGCGAACTAGGCACTCGCCTAGGGCGCGCCGGCCCTCAGGGGCGCCAAAGTGCACCCCCCAAAACTCCCCCCTTCCCGCCGCCCTAACCGGGCGATCCGCCATGGTGGCTGATGAGGAGCAGAAGCGGGAAG